GCTTCCCTTGTTTGGGGCAAATGTACACAGAAGATAAAAAGGAAAGAACATCACATCTTCAAATGACTCTGAAATGCTTCCAAATATGATAAAACAAATGGGATATGACGTGTGCAATTGGGAAATTGGGTGAAGGTAGATATGGGAATCTCTGTACTAGTCTTATAACTCTTTGGGAAGTTGGAAATTATGCCAAAATAAAAAGTTTTAAAAGAGCTTATTTCTTCACAGTAGGGCCTCATGCATACAAAGCTATTTTTTTTTTAATTTTCTACCTGTGATATTGTTACTGGAGTAATGTTTACTTTGTGTATATGTGGTACTAGGGCTTGTAGCCAGATGCCACATCCCCAGTCCTTTTTTCTTTATTTATTTTGAGACAGGGTCTCACTAAGTGGCTGAGGCTGGACTTGAACTTGCCATTCTCCTGCCTCAGGCTCCCAAGTCACTGAGATTACAGGCGTGTACTACTACACTTGGCAGTTTTTATTTTTGAAGTTAAATTTGGAACCTGTGGATCAATGGGATAACTATAATCAAGTGGTTCTGTTTTCAACAAGGACTACATAGGTTAAAGCACTGGCAAAAATCAAAGGATAGTTCTATACCTCTCCTACGTGGAGGCGACAGTGCCAGTGACTCGGTAATAAACAGTAATAAAACACTTATTCAGTTGAAGCTAACAGACCCAAACCAGATTTTAAATGGCTGGCATTTTTCTCATCTATATGGTACTGAAAACAAAATTCTAAAAGTTTCATTGACCATTTTATATGTTTAAAGTTCAATTTATGTTTAAGGTCCAGATACATGCACATGATTTAAAAGAGTATTTATTGGTTATCTTGTGTGTATTAAACCTATAAATCTTTAACTCTACAAAGTTTTTTTTTTTCTCTTGTGGTGCTAGGGATTGAACCCAGGGCTTCATGCATGCTACGCAAGTATTCTACACTAAGCTGTACCCCACTCCACAAACTTCTGCATGACATTTTTAGAAAGCTCAAACACGTCATATTTAATCCTGAGATAAATATGCATCTTCATTCACAGATACACAGGGTGCCAAATACACCTCAGAAACCCAAAATAATATTTGTTATTTAACTAGATTTATAAAGTGGTCATTTAAAAAACAAAGAGACAGGGACTCAGTAGAGCACTTGCCTCACACGTATAAGGCACTGGGTTCAATTCTCAGCACCACATATAAATAAGTAAATAAAATAAAGGTCCATCAAAACTAAAAAATATTTTAAAAAATAAAATAAAAGAGACACTTACGCCAGGTACAGAAGCACACACCTATAACCCCAGCTACTAGGGAATCTGATGCAGGGGAATGCAAGGGCAAGTTCAGGGCCAGGCTGGGAAGCTTAGCCAAACCCTGTCACGAAATAAAAAATAAAAAAGGGCTGGGGGCGCAGCTGAGTGATAGGACACCCCTGGGTTCAATTGCCAGTATCTCAAAAAAAAAAAAAAATCTTTTAAATTGTAGCCAACTTAATCACACATAAATGTTCTAATATTTGTCCTCCACAGCCTTCTGCAACCTGCTTAGACATTCTACAACTTGTTTTCATCCTTAGTTTTCTGTCCCATTTTTCTTTTTCCCATCCTGGAACAATCCAGTTACTTTATTTTAGGACAAAAATCTTACTTTACCATTCGAAATCTTTTCTCAACCAAAAAACATTCTCCAAAATATGTCCTCATACTCATAACCTTCTTAGGTCTTTCTCCTACTTGCTAATTCTTTTCTGCCCTTTTTTTCTAAGTTTGCATTTTAAAACAATTTTACAGGGGCTGGAGTTATAGCTCAGTGGTAGAGCGCCTGCCTCGCACTTGTGAGGTACTGGGTTCTATCCTCAGCCCCACATAAAAAATAAATAAATAAAATAAAGATATTGTGTCCATCTTTAAAAACAAAACAAAACAATCTTACAAAATTTCTGAATTTTAAAAAAATCACTCCTTTTTCTCAAAAAGATGAAATACTAGCTGGGCGTGGTG